CAAAGTCTGAAATAACCAGATATGAAATGAGATGGGTGTGGATTCCAGTGGTGACATCTAATAGTATCATTATAATATTATTTACTCCTCACAAAGCTAAAGAGCAATTACCTTCCAATAATTAAAAATGCTTTCAAAAACATTTTTGAGTTACTTGATAAACTGTGTAGGGTCTCACTACAGAGGGCCTTGCTTCTGTGGGATTATCTGACATCACTTTAACTTTCATTGCCAGTGATAATGACTTCAGGATCATCCAGCTTAATTGCCACGAGAACATCTATCTCTGGTAGACAATGGCATATGTAAAAATACTCTTTGACATGAAATTTAAATGTTTATTATCAACTGTGGTGTTTCCTGACTTTTAATAATTATATTTGTATCTTTCCAGTATTAATTGCTACAAATCTATTAGGAATACACTGGTCTCCCCTTATCCTTGAGGGATACATTCCAAGATCCCCAGTGGATGCCTGAAATCACAGATAGTAGTGAACACTATATATATACTATGCGCAAGCTTCTTCTTCCTTCTTCACAATTTCATAGTTAAAATATTGTTCTTACCCTAGATTTTAGCAAGCTAAGCATACAATTTTTTTTCTTTCTTTATTGTGAAGAACTTTCACCTTTTCACTTAAAGGAAGCCCTTTGTGGCTTTTCTTTGGCATTTCCAAACTGCCAGCGTCACTACTCTTGCATTTTGGGGCCGTTATTATGCCAAATAAGGGTTACTTGAACTCAGACACATCTATACCACTACAGTGGATTTGATAACCCAGGTGGCTACTAAGTGATTCACAGGGAGGTAGTATAGACAATGTGGGTACCCTGGACAAAGGGAGGATTCATATCCTGGTCAGGTCAGAGTGAGACAGCGTGACATTTCATCATGCTGTTCAGAACAGTGTGCAATTTCAAATGTATGAATTGCTTATTTCTGCAATTTTCCATTTATTATTTTTGGCCTGCAGTTGATCACAGTTAACTGAGACCTGGGGTAACTGAAACCCCAGAAGGTGAAACTGTGGATAAGGAGGAACTATTGTAGAGTATAATAAAATATAAAATACAAAGGGAAAAACTCGGAGTAACCAGAAGATTGAAATATGCTTTGGAAATTTTATTCTCCTATTAGCCCCTCAAAACTGGAGACAGATCTGTAAACCGACAATTGCTATACAGGGTGACTAATGCTTTAATAGCAGGATATGTGGGAATTGTGGAAACATAGCAAAGAGACACCTGATTCATCCTAGAGTTGCAGAAGAGGTTTCTTTACAAAAGGGCACTTAGGCTGAATCTCGAGGGAAGAATAACAACAGACCAGGGGGACCCAGGAATGCGAGAGACCCAAGAATAAGCACATAGCATGAGCAAATGCAGGGAGGCATGCCATGGTGTTTAACAAAAGAAGTGGGGGGGATAGATGGAAGAGGGGGAAAAAGGCAAGACCGGTGAATGAACCTGTGCATTAACTCAGGTGCATTAACACTGTATGCCCTGATTAGAAATGGTGGGCTATTTTTAATGAGCAAATGATTTATATTCACTCTATAATATACCAGTTTTTCCCAATTCTTACTGTGGAAAAAGCACATCTGCACCTTCTGGCTTCTAAAGTGCATCCACATTCAGAGTTATGCCTGAGCATGCTCACAGAAAGTCTTTGGAATTTTTATAAGTGCGTCTTTGATGTGATTTTTATGAGCAGTGTTAATTTCTTTCCACATGAATAGCTTTAATAATGCTGCAATCTAAATCCTGTTTAAATTAGTTTATATTGTTTTCTGCTTTCTCAGTGATCTTTCCACTGAATACAAAATTGAATTTACAGTTGAGCATTGAAAATGACCGCTCCCAATATCCTCCTGTAGCCATCCAGAGGGAGTTACTGGCTTAGTCTTAATTAATATAAATTAAAGCTACTTCTTACATGGCAACAAATATTGACTGGAGTTATCAAGCATGCCTTAACTAATGTTTTTTTTAATTTAATTTGAATGTCAGTACATCAATCATATGTCGCCCTCCCTGTCAGTTTCAGAAAGTTCAGAAATGAAGATGAAATTGGGAGTTTTCAAAACTATATTCCTCTTTTAGGCTAATGGAATTCTGCCTCCTGGTACTTGTGAACATGTTAGAAAATCTCTTGGATACTTAGTTTTGAAATCGTGTATTTTCAGTGGCTTAATCCTAAGAATATTGTTTCCTCTTTCTGAAATGATAGTCTGCTGGTGAACTTACTGTGCTCTGGATCTAGGTGTGAAGAGCAATAAAATGCAGCTTTCAGACCATTTGAGTAAACATACGTTTTTACAATTTAAGTGTGTTTTTCCTGATAGTAAAGTTAGTCTATTTGTGAACTGAGCACCACAAGCAAGAGAAGGAAATACCACCTGTATATGAGAGAAAGAGACGAACGGCATTATGCTCCCTCCCTGTAAAGCTCATGACAAAAGCATTAGGATTTTTCTTTCTCTGTGTTACGTAGACACGAAAGTCACAGCAAAGGGGAAAAAATAGTACATGAAGTCAGTGTCTCTTTTTCTGTTGTTATCTTTTTTTTCTAAAAAAAAAAGAAAAAAAAAAAAAAAGATTTCTTCTCAGCATTAGGTTTATTTCTACTGTCTGTTCTGAGGTCCATTCTCCTAACATATATTGGTGGGGAGAGAGGTAGAGAGTGAGGATGGAGGCAAAATTTATTCTGCCTGTAACGGTCGCAGTGGGCCTCTCACAAACATAATGCTAAATTATGGGCCTCTCCATGGGCTGAACATAATATTAAGTTGTGTGATGGATTTTATCTTGTACAAGCCGCTTCGGTCCATGAAATGAGATAAGATACCATTGCAGCTGGAGTTCACTGAAGGTTGAACTTAGACTGAAATTCCAAAGTTAACAAAATGATGTAAGCTGGCTACAATACTCAGTAAGTGTGTTCTGTGCCTGTGGGTTGAGATTTTTAAGGAAACTTGAGTCTATCACTCACAGGATGTTTTGTGGGCGTTCCCAGGCCAGTTATCTCCTCTGGTTAAAGTATGAGGGCAGAGGAGCAGGTTTGCTCATAAAAAAGCTTTGATCCCCAAGTCTAGATTGCCGGTGTGCAGCAGGAGAGGGCTCAGAATGGTGGCTGAGCAGCATTCTTAGGGCACATCCCTAAAAGCTGCTTTTTTCCCTGAGGAAGGCAGAGCTTAGCTGCAGGACCTTGAATTAGGCTCAGCTCCACCTCCATTCAGGACGTGCACCTCCTGGGCAAACATCAGCCGCACTAACGAAGCTGTACCCTGGTCTGGGAGGAGGTCTTCATGAGAAAAGATACTGATGAATGTTTGTAAAGCGCACTATCAATTTACAAAGCACTCAATGGTGGGAAAGTTTCATATGATGTGTAAAATACTAATAACAACTCAATGGTTGATTTTAAAAATCTGGTGAGTAAAATAAAATCATTTTCTCAAGCATGAATCTCCAGCTGCCTATTCATGTGGAGTGTATGTATGTTTATATGTAAACAATACATAAAGATGTCTCTGATGCCCCTCTAGTGGAGGGGCAGTGCCTGGCACACAGTAGGCACTCAGTATTTTTTAAACGAATGGGTAAGAATCTGAATCTTTCAATCTAATTTTGTTCCTGATTTTTAGAATTCAGAGTCTACCTATGTTACTTGTAAAAATGTTGGATATTAGGCCAGGCACGGTGGCTCAGGCCTGTAATCCAGCACTTTGGGAGGCCAAGGTGGGTGGATCACCTGAGGTCAGGAGTTCAAGACCAGCCTGACCAACATGGAGAAACCCTGTCTCTACTAAAAATACAAAAAAAATTAGCAGGGCATGGTGACACATGCCTATAATCCCAGCTACTCAGGAGGCTGAGGCAGGAGAATCGCTTGAACCTGGGAGGCGGAGGTTGCTGTGAGCTGAGATTGCATCATTGTACTACAGCCTGGGCAACAAGAGTAAGACTTCATCTCAAAAAAAAAAAAGTAGGATATTTTTCCCTAAAGTACATTTTCTAGGAATTGCAGAATATAAATGAAAGACTTCTTCCCTCAGGTTTGCCTGGAAAATAGGCAGTGAGCCTTCAGCAGTAGTCAGATTGATTAATGTTGTAGCAACTGACATACAACTTCCAGTTCTAATTAACTTAATCACCCACAAACTTCCTTTTTCTCCACCTCCAAGCCATACAATACAGGTTTGTTCCGGTAACCATTCCCAAATAGGCAAGTCTGTTTTCTTTGAAATAGACTTTCTCACTTATTTTCATTTCCCACTTCCTATCCCCACACACATATATCTCAAACCAGCTTCAAATGGGCTTTCCATAGCCATCTAAAGCAAACACTGAACACCTCAGGAAACAAGCCTTCTTTTGTGGAAAACTAGGAAACATTCTATTTTTCAGCCTAATTAAATATGTGGTATTAGCCCTAAAATGAAATCAATTTTGAACTATAGTAGAATAAGAATTGACTTATTTCTAGTACTTGCCTTGGGAACAATAGCATACATTACAACCAGTTTTAAAGTAATCCGTTCTTCCTTCCACATTTTAACACTAACTCAGCTGATTCCATAAATCAGAAAACTGGTAACACTGTTTAATATTTTTGATAAAGGAAAAAAGAAATTGAGACCCAGTAGGTTAATAATAGTTTTTCAAGTCTATCTTAAGAAAGAGAAATCAAGATTTGGTGGAAGAATGAGGCTTACCTTATGCCTAAGAATGTCCAGAAGAAACCTCCTACCCCTGAGCTTATGAAGTTGGTCGAGGAGAGTGTGAACCTCTTGAGTGGTTCTGTGGTACCTTAGAGTTAGATGAGAAAAGAGAATTTAGTGATTATACGGCAGTCAGTCTCAGGAAAACCAATTTGTTCAGTTCTGAAACTATATCCACTAGGTTAGACTATGCCCTGTCTTTTGAGAAGAACAAGAATAAAGTATATTTTCTCATCTTGGCATTATTTGTACTCGGTGGTTTTCCATTTCCAGATGATAGCAAGTTTTCAGAGGCTATCACAGTGTTACTTTCCTGGATTGAACGAGGGGAAGTGAATCGGCGCTCTGCAAACCAGTTCTATTCCATGGTGCAGTCAGCCAACAGCCACGTCCGCCGGCTAATGAATGAAAAAGCCACCCATGAGCAAGAGATGGAGGAAGCCAAGGAGAATTTTAAAAATGCCTTAACTGGGATTCTCACTCAATGTAAGTAAAATTTTGGGGGCCATTTCTTTTGTTGTGATTTTTGCCTTTTCTTTTTCATTAATTTTATTTTTTCATTTGGGGGTAAGTAGTTCAATAATCTCCCATTTTTACTCCATATTCAATGGCAAACTTCATAACCTATTTCATGTTCTGTGGCAACTTGGAGGAACACGGACCCTGCCCTGAGAGTTTACTTCTCAAGGTGAGCAACGTTTCTGTAGCTTTTCCTCAGAACAGCAAGCCTGGCCACCAGGGCAGGGCAGCTAGATGCATCTGTGCCTGCTGGACCTACGACAGTTCTTGTCAGAGCTGCAGGGCCACCACTCTTCACCTGCAGGCTGTCCACACAGACCCCTATGTCCTCCTAGTGCTGACAGTAGGAAACAAACTTGAACACATTTTCCTTGGGCTCTGTGTAGGAAAAGCGTACCACCAGAAAAACTCCTCAGGATCTTTTATTTGGGTGAGCTGTGGCTGTCAAAATGGGCAACTCAAGAGTGGAGATGTTTTTGTCCTTTCTTCATTTGGAAAGCAAATTGCCTTAACTACTTAATGCCAGTGATTTTTTTTTTATGTCCAGAGTCTAAATGATGAAGGGGTGTAAATGGGGCTTTCTCTTAGAACAATAGTCAGGGTAATTACCCAGGGCTCTATTCAAAAAAAGGGCGTATATTTTTTTTATGGGCACTCTATCTGTGTCTGTAGTTAATGTCACAGCAGCATAATGCATCACAGCTGCCGATGTTCTCTTGCTTGGTAAAAGCCATTGAATGACACTGTAACAATGCCACGCTCCATTCTGTACCAGGTGCAGGGCCCTATGCGATAGTGACATATGGGGTGTATATATCCATTCTGAATATAACTACTATTTTCTGTGCTATCATGTGCCAAAATGCCTATCACCTCTTTCATCAGTGCAAACACAAGAAATATTGTATCTGTCAGGATGGGATGGAAGAGAGGGCAAAACCAAGATCTTAAATGTAAAAGTATCTTATATGACTTTATCAAAAGACAGGTTTTGCAGCAGCATACCATGTCATATAACAAATTCTCAAATGTAAATTTTAATAAGTGATCAAGTACGCAGTATAAGACCAATCTGTCTTATAAAGAAAAGGAATAGGAAAAATAAGACTGCTCTGTCTTTACACAGACTGATACCAGACCACCTTACCTAGATTCACCAGCCTTGAGGAGTAGTCCTTTGTTTAAGAGTGTATGTCTAGAAACTCTAAGGTTATTAGGGATAGAATACAGAGAAGTAATATTAACAGCAGTTTTTAAAGGAGGGCAAAAGAGAATGGATCAGTGGATAGAAGGAAGGTAAGAGTGAACTGGTAATGGAGAAAAATGAAAGCACAGTAAAACAATTCTAATAATACAATTTCTGCAAAGTTATGGTAAGAAGTCATATGCCTGAACAGTGAAACGATTACTGTATGTTTACCTTTCACTCACTGGCATCAATTTTAAATAAGTTCTAATTCCCATGCAGTGTGTAGTCCCAATGGGCACGGAAGACCCAACCGTTGGCTCTAACAATAAAGATAAGAGGGCAGCCATGGGCTAGAATAGGTGAGAATTTAGTTTTCTTTGGCAGTAACTATCGAAAGAGCCACCTATTAAAATGAGGCCCCTACGATGTGGCTGAAAGAACTCGACATGTCTACCTGTCATTATATAGGTGTGAGATGGCCCATATTTGAAGCAACTGAGATAGTGGACAGAAAAGTGTTGCATGTGGGATTACAAATACTTTTGGTATGAAAACCAAATTGGAAAATGATGTGGAGATTTACAGCAATAATAGGCTGCTGAATGCTGAATGTTGTGTTGAGCATCCAGCCTCAGGCAGCAGTGAAGACCCCAGCCACATTCCCTGGAGGCTACACTTTGGATGCCTAAGCAAGGGAGTAGGCAAGCAGAACCCGTGCTCTCCCCAGGCAGGCTGGCTCACCACTCCCTGAGAGGGAGTAAATGAAGGGGTGGAGCAGGGCCAGCAAGATCCTGTCTCCTAGAAACCACAGGAGTGGAGACTGCCTCTTGGGCACCTCAACCTTGAAATATCAAAAATGGAATCCTTGCTTTTAATCTTCAAACTTGTTCCTCTTCTGGTTATTCCTTCCCATTCTAATAAATTCTCAAGCCAAAGTCTTGTACTTTTTATATCTGCCATCTCCCACCACTACAACTTCCATCTAGGTCATCAAGAAGTCCCATTGTTTCTTCCTTTCAGAAATATACCCCGATTCAGCCCACCCTTCTTCATTTTAACTGCCACCACCCAAGGCAGGCTGTGGTTGCCCGATGTGTCAGTTAGACATGGCATCCACATGTGAGTAACAGAAAATTCTGCCGAACAGTATCTGAAACAAGTGGAAGATTTTTCTCTTCGGACATAGTAAAATCCAGATGTGGAGGAGTTTGTTGGCACTGGTCCAGTGGTTCAAGGCTGCCAGGGCTGAGGTCTCTCTGGTGATTTGCTTTTCCTGGATAGTTGTCTATGATGGTTGCTGTTGTGCTTGCCATCACATCTTCTTTTTCCAGGCTGAAATCACGTAAGAAAAGAGGAACAAAGACATAGGAAGGAGTCGCATCATTATAGCAAGAAAGCAAAACTTTCCCCAAAATCCATCCCCAGCTGACTTCCGCATGTGTCTCATTAAGCAGAATTATGACACCTGGCCATGCCTAACTACAGAGAATGTGAGAAATACAATTTTTGACTGGGCCTACTGCTCTCCAGAGTGAAACTGGAGTTACCATAATAAGGCAGGAGTGGAGAATGGCTACTGGGAAGAATTTTGCAGTTCTTACAATACAGAGTGCCTCCCTTTCTACGTCTACTCCAGTTCATTTATTTTTCACATTTCATCTGATGCAAATCAGATCATGTCTTCCCCACTTACATTCCTTGAGTAGCTCCCCCTAGCCTTTAGAGACTACTCACTGTCCCTAGCCAACAAAGCTCTCTGTGCCTACCTCTTTAGCATCAGTTATCCTCAGACTCACCATGTATCAACTCCATTGGCCCCCACTCCCCTTGAGCCCATCAAAACGACTTTCCACCATCTGGCCTTTACACATTCTATTCCCTCTGCCTGGAGTGCCCTTTCCCCTACTCTGTATGCTTGGCTTTTTCTTATCATGTAGGTCTTGGCTGAAGGGCCACCTCTTCAGAGCGGTCTTTCTGGTCCACCCTCTTCTAGTAGATTCACTATCACTGCATCTTATTAAGGTCCTTCGTAACACTTATCCAAATGTGTAGTGACTTCATGATATGTCTGCTTTTATTTATTATTGCAGGCATCACAAAGGAGGAGACGTGTCTTTGTTTAGTCATCAATATATATCAAGTCCTAGAACATAGAAATATGAGAGAAATGTTTGGTGGATGAGTGTGTGAATGAATGAGTAAACCGGAAGACAGGCAGGGGGGAACCCTGAAACAGTGAGTTCAGAAATTTCTGGTGACCTCATTGAGTAGTTTGGCATTGACGTTAGCGTCATCTACAGGAAACAAGGTTTCAACTTGCATGCGTAATGAAGCAAATCAGAGAAAAAGCTCAGTAGCTACACTTTTATTGGAAATTGCCACACTTTACCAAATTCTTGGTAGGAGGCTAGGAAATATTAGGAGAGTTGGGGTGAAAGAATCATCAAAAATTTACGTTGGAGTATCTCCAATTGTAACCATCTAGCAATCTCTGTATTTACCATCTGTCTGTTACTATTTGAGAATCCCCCTTAGCCCTGTAATTTGATTCTGAGAAGTATTTCAGCAGTTGGCAGATATCAACCGAGATTATGGAAATCCTACTGTGCTAGCCAGGGTGTACACATCCCAGCCATAGAGGCTCTGAGGGGCCTTCATTTGAGTCCTTGACAGCCAAGATCTTTCAAGATGACTTGAAGTTGGAAGTTGAGAGATACCTTAAATGTGAGCCTCGGCTAGAATTAAGCCTGTGAGGCAGAACCAGAAGATTGCATATCTCATTGAGCAGCCTCAGAACTTTCCATTCTCTTCTATGTGCTTTTACAAAAAAGGCTGCAAAGAGGATCCCAGTCTGTGAAAATATTAGCAGTAACCTCACTAACCTGGTAGGTATGTGCACATCTCCTCATCCTTTAATCTGAATACATCTCCCTTCCTGTCCGGAGTTTCCCACCCTCTAGTGGGGCTATATTTGTGTCTCAACCGCAATTCCTGCTTTCCACAGCTCTGTTCAGTGTGGTAAGCTGAGTTTGGCGTCAGGACTGTGGGGATGCTTGTAAAACAGTAACTGCCAAAGTCCACCGTGACTGACACATTTGCTGCATTTTCCAAAAGCAGAACCAGTCACACCCCATTTGTCTGCATTAATATTCCTGGCAAACACCACAGGAATCACATTTTGGCTTCTTCCCTTAGAACGAGATTAGAATTGTTAAGCACGAGTCTTCAAACGGAGTTGCACTTCCGTTTTCCTTCTCCCAGGTGGCTGGAAATTTCCTGGTTATTCCATAGCACCCCTAACTACTCCCTGCCACATAACGGATCTCCCCAGTGTCAGTGCCAAAAGATCTCCTCAGTGTCAGCAACGCTCTTGAAGGCATTCCCTGGTAGCCCATTCACTAAACAGCCATGCATGTTGAGAAATTCTTGTGAGGTGGTTTGGAAGCAGGTATATTGGCCAACTAGCTAACTAGTGGAGCAGGCCTTGTATCCCGAACAGAGGGCTCACTCAGCAACTTCCAGGGAAGCTCAGATACATTGCAGGGTTCAAAGCATGTTAAAAGCATGTGGGTCCCCTTATGGATTTTGCTGGAAATAACTAAGTGGCTGAATAGGACAAGGGAAACTTCAGGTGTACCCAGGAGCTGGATTCGATGCCCCTATCTCCTTTCCATGCTTGTGTATTTGTTCTTGCTTTCATTTGGAAAGGATCCATAGGCTCAAATGTTTGGCCTGGATTACTCTCCAGCCATTGAGGAGAAAGAAAGCTGAGATATCA